ATATTGAGGCATGGAGACCAGCTCAGACAAGGCACAATCGTCCCCCATGCATACCTAAAAAGAATGGGCTTGCTAACCAAGATGGCCCTCTCCCCAGGAGGCCGCCTACATTTCAGAAAGCAAATTTATCCAGTGGAACCATGTATTCATGTAGCATTGGTAGTTGTCCATAAGTATGAGCTGCTTATAAGAGCAGATTTCTTCCACCCCGAGGATCCAGTCCTGCATGGAGGGCACTTCTATCCTCTTCTAAAAATAGAAATAGTAGAGAATGGAAGGAATATAGTGGGTCCCAGGACCCTGGTTTAGTGAATACTTATATATATATATTTGGTAACACCCTAGGAGATATCTTGTCTCCATCCATTCCCTATGCTTCAGTATCTTCTGAGGTAATTCAGTTAGTTAAGTCTATATTGTATACTAGATTTTATATTGAAATCATAATAAAAGTTAATTTTTTATTTCCAACTAGGACTTCAACCTCTTTATTAATAACTCTTCTAAAAAATTTGTATAAGGCTATGAGCAGCAATAATCAAATGGGGAAGGACACATTTTTGATAAAAGTTGACCGAGTGTGAAGTAAGATTCAGCAGGTATATCTTATAAATATATATATATATATATATAAAACCTGTACATGGGGGTTACTGTTTAACTCGGGAGACTTCGCTGAACACAAATATTAGTGTTTCAAAACTGGAAAACGTATCACAACAATTATATCATCAGTAAAAGTGCTGTTTGTGTTTGAAAAATGCAAATAACGACACTTTCACTGACAATATCATCGCTGTGACAAAATTCTCATCCTTCACCACAAATCTACCATTAGTTCATATTACCAAGAAATGAACTACAAACTATTGACATTCTGGTACCGAACCCCAGACCTCCTTCACAAAATATTCCCCAACACCTAGCGACATGCTGGAGATGCGAGACAGAAGTGGGAACGCTGAAACAGATTTGGTGGGAATGCACTGAAATCAAACTGTTCTGGAATCGGATCATAACCCGCATCAAGGACGTACTAGGGGATACAACGCAATTAACTATAGACAATATCCTCCTACACCACACAAGGGACCCGATCTCAAAATACAAACGATCTATCCTGCGCCACCTCCTCGACTCAGCCAAGGCGCTAATCCCGGCCCTCTGGAAAACGACACAAACCCCTACAATGGAACAATGGTTAACCAGAGTAGAGGACATCAGAGCCGCAGAAGAAATACACGCGACCTTGAGGGACACGCTCACAAAACACGTGGACAAATGGCAGCCTTGGATAATGTACATGGCGGGACGGGGCACGGAGGGAACGGCCTTTGTCCCTCTCTCCCCAGCTCACTCCTACACGCTATAACCCCTATACACACTAAACACAATTTACCGACAATCACCACATGACCAACATATCACACACACGGCCGCCTAACAAACACTCCACCAAGCCCCAAGACGGAATGGCAAGACACACAACACTACATTTCCACCCCGGACTGGACCCAATCAACAAAGACCATCGCACAACAAGACCAAGACACTCACCACACGCGACTCAAAAACTGCGCTCGACGGAACCGCACACATTCTTTCACACCAGACGAACAACGAAACGAACACAAACAGACCTAACAAGGAGCCCAGACTTACATAACTGACCCCAATAATGACTCCCTGGAAACGACTGAACATCAAGAGACCGGAAAACGGGGCACACACACCTTACAACCTAAGCAACTGTAGTCTACAAACCGGGCGACGCATAGGCCCCACACGCAGAACTGGCCCACAGCCCCACAATAAGGTCACAACGAACCGCGTAACACAAAACAAAAAGAAAAATAAAACTACACAACAGCCAACTCTAGACCTCTAATATAGATACACACACAGACCGCAACATTCCACGACAAAATACATAATGAGGGACACTCTACACACTCACACCACACACACAGACACCTCTGTCACCTTCCTCACTTAGGGCAGCGACACTTGATACCTGGGGTGGAGGAAACCACACAACTAGACCGGACATGCAAGGCCACCACACACTAGGATCTAACTCCACTCGTCCCATCCATCCCTGAAGGCCTGAGCACCACGGTGCTAGACAGGTCTATCTGTGATAACCTAACGTTGAACCAAAACACATAACAAGAGGCCTCCAGACGACAAGAGAATACCAGTATGCGAGAAGGGACCTGCGAGTCCTCAGATGTCAGAGGCCTGCGAACCCACATAGAAGCCTCACACAAATACCTAATACAATACACTGCACGGTTTACTGGGGACCTACATGATCCACACTGTCACTAATCTGAAAATATATGATACACGGATAAAAGGAGAAATCTAAACTGTTGAAACGCTACCTTTACCAAAAATGTGCCTGACCTGCAAATGTCACAACATGCCTTAGTCTCATCACATTTTACGTAGCAAAGTTTTAATAACTGTGTGTTATCTCAGTTAAACACTCACGTTTAGCCTTTGTTATTAAGCATGTTATTAGCTTAAAGGCAACGCTCATACTCTGTATGCATGTACTCTTTGAGAATGCATATCACTAATGCTGATATATACACTCAATGAGTACATGCATACAGAGTATGAGCGTTGCCTTTAAGCTATTATTTTTAGCAACGAACATAGGTATTTGATACGACTTTAACTTGACTCACACTTTATCTACCTAATGCATGTCTACGATATTGCATGGTCTACTGTTACTCCTTTAAAAGTCTGTCTAGACAGGCAATACTCTTGGTTATTATATGTCTTTGTTATACGACATGACAAAAAAAAAAAATGAGGCATCACTTTACAGGAAATTTCTCAAAGCCAACAATGTACTACTCCTATATTGTGAACCGTTTATACGTTTCCCTCTCTTTATTTTGTACCCCATTTCGTATGCTTCAATAAAAGAAAGATTGATAAAAAAAAAATTCTCTGGACTTCCAGCCTGGGTTGGCAGGCAGGTCCCTCAAATTGCAATCAATAAAATTACTTAATTATGTTAAAAATATTACATAAATACGCACGTAGAATTTAAATATATATTTATATATTTGAAGTCTACGTGTATATTTATATAATTATTTATGTAATTTTGTATATGGACATATGTATATTTCGTATTATTTTTATTTATTTATATATACATAGATATATATATACAAATTAATTCTAAGTGTTTTTTGATATAACTATATATATATATTAATATCAAAATACAGTTAGAATAAAATTTCATATAGATATATAATTTTAAAAAAAATGTATTATTATTTTTAAATTTAATTTAAATTACTTATTTATATTTTATAATAATATATATATATACAATATATATAGTTATTATATATTATATATATATATATATATATACGTGTGTAATTTAATTATAAGTGTATTTTTATATTAATATATGTACATATTAATATAAAAATATACTTAGTATGACATTATATATATGATATATAATCATATATATATATACACATATAGATTTATTTATTTTTTATTAACTTTAACTTTATTTTTTTTATTTTTTTTTAATGATTTTACACTAGCAGGGAGACTGCCTGTCAGCACAGTCAGTCCCCCTGCAGGCAGACACATGGACACCTATTGTGACCATGTGATCGCTGTGTTGAGCAATCACATGGCCCCAGGGGTCCTAATCCAGTGTGGGGAGACTGTCTGGGCTGCAGGCAGTCTCCCCACAATGGGAGCAACGCTGATCGCCGCTGGGGGAACGACGGCCATTGGGTAAGTAACTAGGACCTTTAGGACGGTTCAATGTAAAAATGCCGATGACGGTCCTGAAAATGTGGTCCAGTGGATGGGCTGTGCAGGAGGGGGGCTGGGAGCAAGCTGTTACCTTTACGGCAGCTCCGTTCAGCTCCCTTCTCCTCCGTTCCGGTCAGCTCCACTGTAACGCTCTGACGGCCGCTGCTCTTGCATGACTTACAGGGGAGCTGAGCGGCACGGAGGAGAAGGGAGCTGACAGGAGCTGCTGTAAAGGTAAGTAACAGCTTGCTCCCAGCCCCCAACAGGACCACCGGGCTTGTAATGAGCCCGGCAGTCCTGGTCTGTAGTATGGCAATGTAAGTTGCCATAATACAGACACTGACTCGAGTATAAGACGAGTGGGGCTTTTTCAGCACAAAAAATTTGCAGAAAAACTCGTCTTATAGTCCAGTATATACAGTATATATATTTTTTTAAATACATAATATATATATTGTTTTACTGTTCCTCATTTTTTCCCCTCTATTTGTCACTTCTTACTTAAAGGAATATTATAGTGCCAAGAATACAAAGCTGTATTCCTGGCACTATCGCTCCCCCTGCCTCCCCCTTCCCTCACCCCCACAGTGGTAAATAAAGGGATATAAAAATGCTTTAATTACTTAACTGATCCCAGCTCCGATATCTATCCGTGCTGGTTTGCGGCTCCCCCTTCGATGTTACTAATGAGGGGGAGCAAATGCGCATGCATGGTAAATGCCATGCGCGCAATAGGCCCTCCCCATAGGAAAGGATTTAATCTATACTGTCCTATATGGAAATAGCTGACACTGGATGTCCTCATGCAGAGCGTGAGGATGTCCATCGTCAGTTACTAGACCAAAAGTCCATTAACTGCTAGGAAGGGCCTCTAGTGGATGTCTGGTACTGGAGTCAGATGTAGTGCTGCAATGTATTAGAGAAGAGAACTTCTTTTGCAAAGATGGGGACAATATAAAAAGGAGAGGAGAGAAACCGCGCCTTACATAAATTAAATATACATACACTTGATGTCTCTTAGTAGTTGCAGATAATTTGTCCTAAAAAAGAAAACAAGAAGAGATATATACAATAGTGTAGTATTTTAAACAATATTGAGAAAGAGTAATAAATAAAACAAAGGTATTTTACACTCACATTTGGTAGAGCTACTGTGGGAGCTCTACCGTGATAGGCGTGGACGGTACAATCCCCGTCTTAGGATGAGAAGTCCAGCGTCTTGAGTACTCCAATGGTGTGGTGGTATAGATAAAAGAAATACAGAGAACTCCAATGGTGTAGTAATTTCCAATAATAGTATAAATAGGTAAATATAAGTATATTATACTCACATTTACTAGAGCAGATAACTTGCTCTAGTATATAAGGTATGCAGTGGTATAATCCCCACTGTAGGATATACAGGCCAGGAAGTATGATGATATAAATAGAATGAGGATAAAATATAGCTTTAAAAGTATATTTAATAGTAATACAAATGCAATAAAATAAAAAGCTATATAAAATAACACTTAACGCGTTTCGCCAATGGCTTCATCAGAAGTGTAAAAAGCATGCATCAAGAAACTTCCTTTAAATATAACATACTGACCATAATGGATAATAGCTCCCTGGTGTGGCCAAATCAAAGGGACGCTCGTTGGTGGAGACCGGAAGTAATCCGGCGTCTACATGGATGGCGGTAGCCAGCGTGGAACGCACGCGCCCAAACCGGAAGCGGCGCGGCGTTCGCATGTGAGGACCAATCCATTGCGAGACGCACGCGCCGCCCCGGAGATGACGCGGCGCCCTCGCGGGCAAGAAATAGATGTGCGTTCCACCATGGGACGCACAGCACCCGCAGTCATGCGTCGCGCCGGAAACGACGCGGCGTCGACGCGGGTGAAGTATAGGTGTGCGTTCCATCGTGGAACGCACAGCACTAACAGCTACAACAAGCAGAAAAGAACAATTCAAAAGGGAAAAGATCAAATGAATGGTAGTAAAGTACAATATAGGCATGAACAAATGAATGGGTACAATATAGGCATAAACAGCCAAACAGTTCCAAATGCCAAAAAAAAAAGAACATATGTATAGGCAGCAGAACAATCCTACATTGCCACAATAAAAAGACAATAGGGAAAAATTCCTATGTTTGGACAGATCAATCATCTCAAATTAACACATAGGGTATCTTGCTAAAGTACAACCATAAAAAATTAATATATAAAATAAATAAAATATAAAAAGCACCAATAGAGAGTTCTTAAAGTCCATTAATCAAGTAGTTCTGGTATCCAGCAGTTTGTGAAGAGTGTATCGTCAATATAAAAATAATAAATAATAAGTAATAAAAACAAAATAAATAAAACTAAAAAAATTAAAAAAATAGCACAACGTCTTCTTCTTATTTGATTAAAAGTAAGTACAGTTAGATACAAAATTTGGTGCAGTTCATGACGTTCTTATTCTGAAGGCAATCTTAAATGTCCAATAGTCCATAGTTGGTGTGCTTGTGATCCAATATATACGAGGAGAGTAAGATTGAATACATAAAAAATAGTGTATACATAAAAGTGAATACAGGCTAATAGAATAATAAAAAGCAAACATAAAATAATAGGAGAATGAGGTGAATATAAAAAAAAATATAGGATGATATGAAAAATAAGATGAAAAAAAAAAAAAAATATATATTTTATAAAAAATTAAACAAATCGAATTCTATATTTAGACCGTCTGGGTGTAGGGTATTCATATTGTAAACCCATTCCATCTCTGTCCGTCCTATCTTTTTAATAAAATCACCTCCTCTCCAGTGAGATTTAACAATAGCAATACCCATGAAAGTAAGATACTTTGGATTATTATCATGGATACAAAAGTGGGATGAAACTGAATGGTTTTTAAAACCTTTAATTATGTTTCTACAGTGTTCAGCAATGCGCATTTTTAGTGGTCTAATTGTTCGTCCTATATATTGTAAGCCGCAAGGGCATTCCAATAAATATATAACGTTTTTACTGTTGCATGTAATTGTTTCCTTTATATTATAGGATTTACCATTATTATTTGATTTAAAATTAGATCTCAATTTAGGTGTAGATTTAGTTTTTCTACAAGCAATACATGTGTTACATTTATAAAAGCCTTTTTTGTCATTTAAAAAACTAGCCCCTATAATTGTTTCAGGTTTAGTATAATTTTTTGTGAGATGCATTCTTAAATTAGGTGCTCCCCTAAACACTATTTTTGGTCTTTCTGGGATTAAGTGTTTGAGGATTGTGTCTTCTTTCAGTAGGTTCCAATGTCTGTTAATTATCTTTTTGAGTTCTTTATTTTTATTGTTATAGTCTAATATAACAGGTAATAATATATTTTGCTTTTGAGTTTTCTTCTTAGTTAATAGGTCTTTCTGGTGAATGGATAAGGCTTGGTTAAAAGTTGATTGGATAGTAGTTTTGTTATATCCTTTTGTTAAAAAACTTTCTTTTATTGTTTCTGCTTGTTGTTTAAAAACAGGGGTTTCTGTACAATTTCTTCTTAATCTAAGCATTTGACTCTTTGGAATGCTGTCTAGCCATACTTTGTTGTGGCAACTTTTAGTATCAATATAATTATTGACGTGAACTTCTTTAAAATGGGTTTTAGTATGAATTGCATTATTTTTAATATATATGTTTAAGTCTAAATATGTGATATGTGAGTCACTAATTTCTGAGGTTAAGATTATACCTTCTTGGTTAGTGTTTAGAAAGGAGATGAACTCTCTGGCTTCAATAGGAGTTCCTTTCCATATAAAGAGAAGGTCATCAATGTATCTCGAGTAGGACACCAGGTTTTTTGCCCAGCCATGCTCACTCCAAATGTATCTATCTTCCCATTCCGCCATATAGAGATTAGCATAGCTGGGCGCAAACCTGGTGCCCATAGCTGTGCCTGTTTTTTGTAAATAAAAACTATCTTTAAACCAGAAATAATTATTATTGAGGATTAGATCTATCCCTTCAATTAAAAACTCTATTTGGTCTTGTGGCATTATTTTTTCTTTTTCTAAAATCTTTCTTACTGCTGGATGGGGACAGCTTGTTCACATTGATCCTTCAAGTAAATATACGTAGATCTCGATTTCCACGTAAAACACCATGTAGTTGCTGGTAGGGTTAGCTTGATCACTTGAATTTACTTTTACAATTGGTTTGTAGTCATAGTGAGCTTATAGTTGTATTAGTAGCAAATTAAATCACCTAAGCAAATAGATATTTAATATCTCAATTGTTGACACCCTGGGTGTTGTAGCACTAAGCAGTCTCATGGAAAGCAAACAAGATATTTTGCATGGTCTTTGTGAAAATTCATCATATTGTTAACATTAAAGGGACATTCAGGTCACCATAGCAACTTCATCTAAAATAAGTTCTTATGGTGCCAGGAGGTCCCCATGTGTATTCTTACCTTACAGAGTTAAACCATTCTCAACAGTTTAATCCCAAAGGTTGCCTCCAGTACTACTCTCAAGATCCTCCAGGCGGCATCCAGCTTCTAAATCTGAGTTACAGAAAGCATGGAGTGCAGCTGAGCAGGGGCACCACTAATTGGCTAAGGCGGTCCCCTGATGCTCTAAGCCAATCAGTAGCTTCCTACTCGTAAAAAAAAAGGTACATACCTTTTTATCATAATACAAAAAGAGTTTTATGCCCATATAAAGATTTAAACCCAGACTTTCAGTGTGAAAACCAAAACATTTAACCACTAGCAATAAAAAAAGACACACAGCCATAATTAACAAACTTTATCCAAGTAGACAGATTCAGATTAATATATTTGTCTGCAGAAAATGTGTCGCCTTACACTAGCACTGAGTATCTGCTGGAAATGTCTCCCACAATGTCAGCCCTGTACATTTGCTGAAAATGTGTCCTCCAATTCAATGTGTGTCTGTTGACTGTGTACACACCTCAAAATAACAACATTGCATGTGGCCGTTGGAAGACTCTCCAAGGCTTCCAGGTACATTTCATGCCATTAGTAATTTTTTTAATTGGATTTTTCTCTGTGCTGATAATCGTAATAATGTCATATATTATGTTTTATCATACCAGAAAAGGAATAGTGAAACTCATTATGCGAAGTAGTTTTCCTCATACTGAGTAATGCATACACTGATCATCCACAACATTAAAACCACCTGCCTAATATCATGTAGATCCACTTCGTGCTGCCAAAACAGCTCTAATGCGTCCAGGCATGGACTCCATAAGACTGCTGAACGTGCTATCTGGCACCAAAACATTAGCAGCAGTTCCTTTAAGTCCTGCAAGTTGCGAGGTGGAGCCTCCATGGATTGGATTTGTTGTTCCAGCACATCCTATCAGATTGAGACCTGGGGAATTTTGAGGCCAAGGCAGGACCTTGAACTCTTTGTCATATTCCTCAAACCATTCCTGAACATTGTTTGCAGTATGGTTGGGTGCATTATCCTGCTGAAAGAGGTCACTGCCATTGGGGAACACCACTGACATGAAGGGGTATAAGTGGGTATTATGTGTCAAAGTAATATCCACATGAATACCAGGACCCAAGGTTTCCCAGCAAAGCATTACCCAGAGTAATGTTCTGCTGAAAAACCCATAGAATATGTCGCTATCGCTTTTCCAGGTAAATGACGCACATGCACCCGGCCATTCACCTGATCTAAAAAAGAAAACATGAGTTATCTGACCAGGCAACTTTCTTCTACTTTTCCATGGTCTGTTCTGAGACTCATGTCCCCATTAAAGGCGCATTGGGAGCTGGACAGGGATCACCATGACCAGTCTAGGCCTACGAAGCCCCACACATAGCACACTGTGAAGCTCTGTATGTTTTGACACTTTTCTATTATGGCCAGCATTACATTTTTCAGCAATTTGAGCTACAGTAGCTCTTCTGTGTGATCGGACTAGACGGGCTAGCCTTTGTCATTGGTTGTCCTTCCTCGCACCACTTTTGGTAGCTAACCACTGCACATCAGTAACACCCAAGAAGACTTGCCATTTTGGAGATGCTCTGACTTGATCGTCTAGCATCACTTTGCCCTTGTCAAAGTCACTCATCTTTTCATTAGTCCATTTACCCTGCTTCCAAAACATGAAATATAAGAACTGACTGTGATTGTAACGATATAATCAATGTAATTTACTTCACCTGCCAGTGGTTTTAATGTTGTAGGTGATCAGTGTAATCAGCTATTTGTTTTTAACCCCTTCAGTGCCAGACAAGTGTCACATACATTGTTTTACAATTTACTGGCTGTATCTCTGGCATTCAAAGGGGTAAACAAAGAAAATAAAGAACTAGGATTTTTTTGACAGCTATTATGATGTCATCTGAGTCCAACACACCAGGATTCAAATTCCATGGTTAAAATCTGGCATCCCA